CTTCATGGGGGGAGGTGATTAGGAAAATAACGTCTAAAAAGACTCTCTAGGGGGATGACAAGGAAAGACAAAAGGTTGGGAAATGCTAGACTTGGTGATCTAGAAGGGTCCTTGTTCTAGATCCAAATCTAGAAGGTCTGACGGTCTATGAATGTAACTCTGCGGGAGAGTGTTGGTGGGAATAGCGGAGGGAAGAGTGTTCTAGGAACAGGGAACAGCACAAGCTGAAAACCTCAGATGGGAATGAGCCTGGGTTATGGGCTGGACTGTGTGCCCATCTAGCAGCTGAAATAGCTCAGATGGGAGAGTGTTTGACCGAACTATGTCCCCCTAAAATTCATGTGTTGAAGTCCAAACCCCCAGTACCTTGGAATGTGACTGTATTTGAAGGTAAGATGTTGAAAGAGGTGATGAAGTTTAAATGAAACCATTAGGGTGGGGCCCTAATCCGACAGGACTGGTGTCCTTATAAAAAGAGGAAGAGGCAGCTGGGGTGCATGTGCATAGCGACAAGACCACATGAAGATACAGGAAGAGGCTGAGTATGGTGGCTCACACCTGTAATCCCAGCACTTCGGGAGGCTGAGGCGGGCAGATCACCTGAGGTCAGGAGTTCGAGATCAACCTGGCCAACATGGCGAAACCCTGTCTCTACTAAATATACAAAAATTAGCCAGGTGTGGTGGCACATGCCTGTAATTCCAGCTACTCGGGAGGTTGAAGCAGGAGAATCTCTTAAACCTGGGAGGTGGAGACTGTAATGAGCCATGATCTCACCACGGCACTCCAGCCTGGGCAACAGAGTGAGACTCTATCTCAAAAATAATAAAAATAAAAATAAAAGAAGATGCAGGGAGAAAGGGGTCATCTAAGAGCCAAGGAGAGAGGCCTCAGGAGAAACCAGCCTTGCCAACACCTCGATCTTGGTCTCCAGCCTCAAGAACTATGAGAAACATTTCTGTGGATTAAGTCACCCAGGCTGTGGTATTGTGTTATAGCAACTGGCACAGACTCATACACTTGCCGTCTTCTTCTTCTTCTTTGTTTTTTTAAATACAGAGACAGGGTCTTGCTATTTTGCCCAGGTTAGTTTCAAACTCCTGGGCTCAAGTGATTCTCCCACTTCAGCTTCCCAAAGTGCTGGGATTATAAGCATGAGCCACTGCGCCTGGCTTTTTGTTGTGGCTGTTGTTCTTTCGGGGTGCTTTTTTTTTGGATACAGTGTCTCTCATTGCCCAGGCTGGAATGCAGTGGCACCATCATGGCTCACTACAGCCTCAACCCCTCAGGCTTAAGTGATCCTCCCACCTCAGCCTCCCAAGTAGCTAGGGCCACGGGTGCACGCCACCACACCTATCTAATTTTTTAAATTTTTTATGTAGAGATGGGATGTCAGTATGTTGCCCAGGCTGGTCTTGAACTCCTGGGCTCAAAGGATCCTACCACCTTGGCCTCCCAAAATGTTGGGATTACAGATGTGAGCCACCTGGCATCTTTAAAGAATAATCAATACAGGGACATGAGATCAAAATAGGTTGTGGGGAGAGCGGGCAGATGCAGATGGTAACAAGCTTCATAGGACTGGGAATAATATTGGTTTTTGTTGTTGTTGTTTTCTTGGCATGGGATGGGGAACACGGGAGGACTTGAAGCAGGAGTGTGACAAGATCTGCCTTACATTTCTAGCGTGACCTCTCTGGGTGCTGGGCAGAGAGCAGATCACTCATGGGCAAAGACGAAAGCAGAGGGACCGTGAGAAGGAGAGAGAAGAGGGTGGCTGGGACCAGGATGGCAGCAGTGGGCATGGTGATGAGTGGGTTGGATTCTAGTACATATTAAGAGTAGAGCTAGTGGCTAGGCGCTGTGGCTCACGCCTGTAATCCCAGCACTTTGGGAGGCCGACGCAGGCAGATCACCTGAGGTCAGGAGTTCGAGACCAGCCTGGCCAACATGGTGAAACCCTGTCTCTACAAAAAAACCCCACAAAAATTAGCTGGGTGTGGTGCACACACCTGTAATCCCAGCTGCTTGGGAGGCTGAGGCAGGAGAATAACTTGAACCCGGGAGGCAGAGGTTGCGGTGAGCCGAGATCGCACCACTGCACTCCAGCCTGGGGACAAAGCAAGACTCCGTCTTTAAATAAAAAAAAAAAAAAAAAAGTAGAGCTAGTAGGAATTGGAATTGCCAATGGATTAGAATGTGGGGGGATGAGAGAAAGAGAAGGGTTATGGATCATTCCAGATGTTTAGCCTGAACAACTTGAAAAGTGTAACTTCAGTTATGTTTGGTCTGGTTTTGTTTGAGATGTGTATTAGACATTCACATCGAGGTGTCAAGCAAGTAGTCAGATGTTCAGGGGCGGTCTGAGTAGAGATAGGCACAAGAAGGATCTGCCCCGTAACCCCATGCTTCCCACCCACAGCCCCGGTCACAGAATATTTGCAAACAGGTCTGCACTTGTCTGCATTCATTCCCCATTAAACTGAGTGAGAGAAAAAAACTTTATGTGTCATGTTTACCATTGTACATCCCAGGCAAATGATCTGTTGAATAGATGGGATGATACAACAAGGAGTTAAAATTTACTGAGGCACAAATGTTCCTAAACATTCCCCTCCCCTTCCTGAGCCAAATAATGTTATCTTTTCCAGCAGACTGTTCAGGTCCCCACCCTTTCCTGTCCCTATCAGACTGATCAGGGACATTTGTGGGCAGAGGAAGATGGGCCAAGAGAGCCTGGAACAAGAGCTAGAGGGCTCATGAGAGAGGTTTAGACAATCTATAAAATGCAGAGCCAGGAGAAAGTAAGGAGCGGAGGAGAAAAGAGAGATAGAGAGAAGAGACCAATCCTGCCACTCAGTCTGCACGTGGAACACGGGTTTCTTTGTTTTATAGGCTTTCTTTGGAGCATGGAGGGTGTTACATGAGAGATTCCAGGGTACTGTGTGTGTGAGAGAGAATCGGGAAGAGACAAAAAAAGGTATAAGAAGTTTTGCTAAGGGAGAGGACTGACTCTCTCCAAGCGTGGCTTTGAAAACCACAAGCTAGGAACAATTTATCAAGAAAGCATAACAATCATAAATGTATGTACACCTAACAACAGAGCATCACAATTCCTGAAGGAAAAAAAAAAAAAAAAAACCAGAAATCAAAAATAGACAACACTAAGAAGAAACAGATAAATCCAAATAACCAATAGCTCTTTCTATGTAATTCACTAAAATTGATTTTTAAAAACAGCTGCAGCGCGAACTATGATTGTCATTATACTCCTGCCTGGGCGACAGAATGAGATCCTGTCTCAAAAAAAAAAAAAAAAAATCAGCAAGGATATAGAAAATGAATCAACACTGTTAACAAATTTGATCTGACATTTACAGAACATTGTACCCAACAACTGCAGAATATAAAATGTTTTCAAGTGTACTACCAAGCTATCAAAGATAGACCATGTGGCCAGGAGCAGTGCTCAGGCCTGGTAATCCTAGCACTTTTGGAGGCTGAGGCAGGCGCAGATGTCCTGAGGTCAGAGTTCAAGACAAGCTGGGCAACATGGCAAACCCTGTCTCTACCAAAAATACAAAAATTACAGGGCGTGGTGGCACGCACCTGTAATCTCAGCTGCTTGTGTGGGGCTGAGGGCAGCAGAATTGCTTGAACCTGGGAGGTCGAGCTGCGGTGAGACAAGATTGCACCACTGCACTCCAGCCTAACGTGACAGAGGAACCTTGTCTCATTAAAAAAAAACAAAAACAAAACAAAAATAAAATAAAAATTAAAAAGACCATGTGCTGGGCCATAAAATAAGTCGTTAATTCATTGCAGGAAGACTCTTAAATCTTACGGAGTATGTTCCCAACCACCACTGGTCTTTAAAAGGCACCACCAATAACAAGTAAACACCGTAGAAAATCCGTAAAGTATTTGGAATTTAATAACAATCCCTTTAAATAACCCATAGGTCAAAGGAAAAAAAAAATCACAATGAAACTAGAAAATATCAAATGAACAATAATGAAAGACACATCAAATTCAATTATTTATGGGAAAGGCAGCTAAAGCCATTAGTTGGAGGGAAAGGTTATAGCTAAGATGATTTGAGTACTGGGGTGGGGAAAGAGAGCCTAAATTTTTTTTGTTTTTTGTTTGTTTTGTTTGAGACAGAGGTCTCGCGCTGTGTCACGCCCAGGCTGGATGCAGTGGCGCGGACTCGGCTCACGCAGAGCCTCCGCCTCCCAAGGTTCACCGCCATTCTCCTGCCTCAGCCTCCGAGTACGCTGGGCACTACAGGCGCCCGGCCACCACGCCCGCTAGTTTTTTTTCTTATTTTTATTTTTGAGTAAGAGACGGGTTTACCATGTTAGCCAGATGGTCTCGATCTCCTGACCTCGTGACCACCCGCCTCGCCTCCCAAAGTGCTGGATTAGCGAGGCGTTGAAGCGCAGCCCGCGGCCGCCCGGCGCAGGAGAGGGCCTGAAAATTAATGACCCAAAAGTCTACCTTAAAAAAAAAAAGCTAGAGGCGCAGGCGGCGGGGTGGCCCTCGAAGCTGTAATCCCAGCACTTTGGTAGGCCGAGACGGGGCGGAGCACAAGTCAAGGAGATCGAGACCATCCTGGGCGTAACATGGTGAAACCCCGTCTCTACTTAAAAAAACACAAAAAAATAGCCGGGCGGAGGCGGCGAGCCCAGCTACGGCGGAGGGGCTGAGGCAGGAGGAATGGCGTAAACCCCGGAGGGTGGAGGCTTGCAGTGAGGCTGAGATCCGGCCACGGCACTGCCAGCCTGACAGACGAGACGGCCGGCGCAAAAAAAAAAGAAAAAAAAAAAAGGCTAGAAAAAGCGTGAAAACAAAAGAGCCGAAGATAGAGGGAGGAAAGAAGAGGAAATACTGAGAAGTCGAAGAGTGAGAAGAGCGTGCGGAGGGGAAGGAATGATCAGAGAAAACAAGGCTAAGAAAACCGGTTCTTCGAAAAGATTAATAAAATTGAAAAGCACAGCTAATACCGACGTTTCTAGTTTTTATTCGTTTGAGTTTTTTGCTGACTGGCGAGACAGGTCACGGAGGCTGGTCACACGGTTACAGAGGGAGGCAGAGAGAGAGAGCGAGCGCACAGAGCCTCGCGAGAGCGCCTCATTGCGAGACAAGCACGCATGCGCGTCCTCCGATGCCGGGCGCCTGCTCCACTTACTGATCCTGCGGATTGCTCTGCACCTGAAGTGCTGGGGCCGGTGAGAGCCCCCACTCCCGGAAATGCTTGTAGCACGCGGAAGGGTGATCGCTTTCCCAGCGAATAGCTGGAAGCGCAGCGGGTGTGTTGTAGCCGGAAACTGGGAGCGAAACCCAACTGAAAGAGATGTAGTGAGAAAGGCTTATGCGTTAGCGTTACAGAGTGACATTCGGTCAGCATGATGATAAGCACTGAGGGGGGCAGAGAGGTGGAGGGCTGATTGCGGATCATCGCACGAGGATATTCTAGCTCTAGGCCGTGGCGGCTGTGGCGATTTTCTCAGTGCTGCACGGAGAGGGGGCGGATGCGCGCGTCTGCCGCGCGCGCTACCACAGGGCCTTGATCGTGCCGATGTCCCGGGCGGCGAGAACACCGAGCCAGGCGCGCGCGCGCGGCGGGGGGTGTAGACGAAGTTGGAGTTGCCGTTCATGGCGGCAGGCGAAGCGAGAGGGCAAGCGAGCTCGGTTCCCCAAAGCAGCCACGGAGCCGCGAGAGACGGGGACGAGCGGCAGGAGAGGCGCGACAGGCGGAGAGAGTATGGTAGAAGATACGAGCGCCCCGGCAGCCAGGAAGCGCGGGGGGATGAGGGAGGAACGGACGGTTCGAGCGGAGCGCGAGCGGCGCTAAATGTAGAAAAGTCTGAGCACAGAAGGAAGGGGCCCGAGGAAGTTGATGCACATAAAAGAGAAGAGAAGGAAGTGGAGAGTCGTGTTCGTTCTCCGGTTCCCGCCGCGCCGTGGAGCAAGGCACGTCCGAAGAAAAGAAGCTAGGCGAGGCGTTGCGAGTCCAGTGGATTCTTTTTCGCGTTCTGTTCTTTCTTTTGTTGTGTGGGAGGCAGGGAGGCGCGAGCGGAGCGCGACACCGAGGCAGGTGGCGAGCGGCGGCGCGCGAGCGCAAGCCGTGCGCCGGGCGTCGTGGTGGCAAGTGAGATCTGCCCTCGAAGGGGTGAGGGACGCGGACACGAGGCGAACCGAGGTAATTTTTTGTATTTTTAGTAGAGACGGGGTTTCACCATGTTGGCCAGGCTGGTCTCGAACTCCTGACCTCAGGTGATCCGCCCACCTCAGCTTCCCAAAGTGCTGGGATTACAGGCGTGAGCCACTGCGTCTGGCCCAATTCATTGATTTCTACTCTGTTCAGGACAAGGATTGGTGTCTGGTTTTCCAAGCCTCCATTTCCCTTTCTGTAAAAGAGGAAGTGAACTCAAGAATCACAAGGGGTCCCTCTTACTCTAAAATAACATGATTCTTTGGTGGTTCCTCAGAAAACCAAAGCAAAAAAAAAAAAAAAGATGAAAAACCCTACCTCCCATCTTTGCCCCCTGCCTACCAGGAGCCAAGGGGCACCTCAGAAAGTGGCTCTGATGTCCTCCCTAAATAAGAATCTCACACCTTAGCCTTCACCTGCCACCTCCTGGGTGGAAAGGAAAGGACCAGTCAATGCTGAGTTTGAAGCTGGATTGTTACCTACCTGCTGATGGACTTTGAGCAGGTTGCTTGAGCCACACCTGTTTCTTTATGGCGGGGGCATTCATTCTCCCTTCTCCTGGCCATAGACCCTGTTGGCTCTGCTCTCAGCCAAGTTGAGAAAATGAGGCTGAATCTAGCAATGACCACATGACCAAACCTAGCCAATCAGAACACCCCATTCCTGTGCGCATGGTGATTGGTTCAGAGTTGAGCACAGGACCCAGCTGGACCAATGAACACCTTTCTTGGAACCTTTAATAGAGTCACTGAGACCGGACACTGTCTTTCTCTATGGCTGGATGTAAAGATGAAGCTCTTTACATTCTCGTCTAAGAATATAGCCACACATAGGCAGGCAGGGCAACAGGTAGGGGATTGTGGAGGGGAGACAGATACCTGCTGTAGCACCTGGATCCAGTTGCGCTTGAAGCTAATTACAGGGGCCGATAAATATCTTTTGGGCTTAAACCCAGTTTGATCTGCGTTTCAATCCCTCGAATTCTGCCCGATACCTCCCTGTGCCTCAGTGTTCTCCTCTGGAATGTGGGCATCAGAGCACAAAAGTCCCCAGCACACAGTTTTCACAGGAGGTACCCCTACCCTTCCCAATATTCCCTCCCCTGCCAGGCACAGACTTGGATACACTTACGCCCCAGAGTGGACGTGGAAGGACCCTACTTCATTGCCTTCCCATCCCATGGCCTGGAGGGAAGGATAGTCATCGCTCAGCTCTCCTTTCTTGCCCAGGAAGTTCTCTTGCTCGAAGATTGTCAGCCTCGAGTCACGGTGGTTCTACAGGAACAGGAAACACAGTCAGACCATCAGGCTCCCAGTTGGAAACCCAGGAGCCTCTCCTGGCCTCCACACTCCCTGCCCTTGTCTCCCAAATCAACCTTCCTTGCAAACCTTTTGGAAGGGCAATAAGGCAACAGGTACCAGAAACCTTACCATTTGCCCTTCCAGAAATTTCCACAAAGAAAATAATCATGGAATAAATAGGCTGCAAGAATGTTCGTCATTAACAGTTTTTTCAAAAACAAACAAACAAAAAGGAATCAACCTTTACGTCCGAAATTGGGGATCCAGTGGTAAGCTGAGGTATTACACTGTGGTTAAGAAAAAGGGTGTAGAGGTCAGGCACCGTGGCTCACGCCTATATTCCCAGCATTTTGGGAGGCCGAGGTGGGCGGATCACCTGAGGTCAGGAGTTCAAGACCAGCCCGACGAATATGGTGAAACCCTGTCTCTACTAAATACAGAAAATTAGTTAAGTGTGGTGGCGCATGCCTGTAATCTCAGCTACTTGGGAGACTGAGGCAGGAGAATCGCTTGAACCTGGGAGGCAGAGGTTGCAGTGAGCCAAGATTGTGCCATTGCACTCCAGCCTGGACAACAAAAGCGAAAACTCCATCAAAAAGAAAGAAAGAGAGAGAGAGAGAGAGAGAGAGAGAGAGAGAGAGAGGAAGGAAGGGTAGAGATATCATCTCAAATCCTTCCTACCAGGAAGCAGCTGCCACTTACCAACTGACTGAGGTTAGACAGAATTTCTGAGCCTCTGTTCCTGTATCTATAAAATGAAACTAACCATACCCACTTTTCAGGGTTCTTTTGAGAACTAAATGAATTCAGAAGTTGGAAACTGCTGGGAATGAGGGACTGTATCTGTTGCAGCCCACCACGGGTCCCCATATTAGGACAATATCTAGACTGGTTGCAGAGTAAATGAACAAATGGACTTATGCACAAAACGGAATACTAGGGAGCTATGAAAAATGATGGAAGTGAGATTGAATCACCTAGACTGATGATTGTGATATATTTGCTCAGTGAGAAAAGCTAGTTTCCAAGCCTTAGACTCATTATGATTCCATTTTTGTGGCAAAATTATGTGTGCAATATAGATAAGATATATAGATTATATAGATATAGATGTAGATGTTTATCTGGATGTGTATATACATAGAGACATAAATGTATAGGTTGAACATTTCTAACCTAAACATCCGAAATCCAAAATGCTCTAAAATCTAAAACTTTTTGAGTGACGACATGACACTCAAAGAATGCTCACTAGAGTATTTCAGATTTTGGATTTTTGGATTCAGGCTGCTCAACCGTAGGTATTATAAATATTACAAAATCTGGGGAAAATATTCACAATCCAAAATACTTCTGGTCCCAAGCATTTCAGATAAGGGATAATCAATCCTGACCATACCAGGATTTTCCTTCAGAATTTTGGATGGTAAATATGGTGCCTTATGTCATTTTAAATTAATAAGAGTTGAAAAATAAAATACACTTTTTTTTTTTTTTTGAGACAGAGTCTCACTCTGGTGCCCAGGCTGGAGTGCAGTGGTGCGATCTCAGCTCACTGCAACCTCCATCTCCTGGGTTCAAGTCATTCTCTTGCCTCAGCCTCCTGAGTAGCTGGGACTACGGGCATGTACCACCACGCCCAGCTAATTTTTTTGTATTTTTAGTAGAGACGGGGTTTCACCATGTTGGCCAGGCTGATCTTGAACTCCTGGCCTCAAGTGATCCACCCGCCTGGGCCTCCCAAAGTGCTGGGATTGTAGGTGTGAGCCACTGTGCCCGGCCTAAAATATACCTTTCTGAGCCTCAATTTTCTCATCAGTGAGATGGCAATAATAATGCTCACCTCCACCCACACTCCAAAAACAGCAATAAAATGTAAAATCAGGAGCATTGATATCGAATTAGGAGCAAGAAATGAAACTCTTCATCCTCACTGGGCCCTACCATCCCTGGTACCCAACTTCTCTCAGGGTCCCTGAATCACAAAAAAAAAAAAAAAAAAAAAGGCACAAAGCTGGCAGGGGCTAACCAGGGCTGCTGTGAGCAGAGAGTTTAAGGTGGGCTCTGGCCAGATGCTATATGTTCTTCTTCCCAACAACATTGGTACTATTGCCCCATTTCAAGATGAAGAAACTGAGGCCAAGAGAGGAAAGAGACTAACAGCCCTTGTCACACAGCTTGAAGTGGTGACATGAGAATTTCAGCTCTGGGACATTTGATTCCCAAGTGCCCACGTGAGGGGCTCGGACCTCCCCGGGACGCAGAAGTGGTAGAACTCACAGCACAGGCCACAGGCCGGAAGGAGGTGAGCCTCTCAGAGGGGTAGGCCGTGTTGCCACCCCAGGCATCCCAGCTCGGGTATTCGCCCCGTTCCAGAACGTACTGCTGCCCTTGGAAGCCAGCATGCTCGAAGCCCACCCACCTGCAGACAGAGGGTAGAGCGTGCAGGAGGTAAGCGTCCCCTTCACCCTGCATTCTAGACCAGCAGATGGGTCTAGAATGGTCACAATCACAACCATTCAGGGGTGATTGTGCCCCCAGGAAACACTTGACAATGCCTGGAGACATTTTTGGTTATCACGATTAGGGGAGGGGCTTGGAAGGCCATCTATCAGGTAGAGGCCAGGGATGCTGCTAAACATCCCATAATACACAGGCCAGCCTCCACTGCAAAGGATGATCCAGCCAGAAACATCAGTAGTGCCGAAGTTGAGGGACCCGGCTCTAGACCTGACTTGCTGTGTGTCCCATAGGTAGGGAAACTGCTTCACACAGGTGCCCTGACAACATTGCTCCTCTGTTGATTTCCACAGAGGCCGCAGAGTCAAAGCTGATCACAGACTGACCTCACCTTGGTGGAATTCCCTGTGATCCTGCCAGGGTGTAGGAGACGGGCCGTTTTGTGAGGAGCTACTGCAAGGCCATCTCTTATATTCCTCCCTCTCTTGTGGGAGGCTTCCACGAGGCAGTTCCTCATCTGCCTGTCTGGCCACTCTGAGATGTGGGGCTTTCCACCTCGCCGCCCCACAGGTGACAATAGCAAGCTATCGTTGAAGCATGGAAGCAGTTCTTCAGCCACGGGGTTCCCACCATTCCTGCTGCCTGTCATTCGGCCCCCTTTGTTTTGGTGTCATCCCGTAGGACAAGGGACACAGGAAGCTGACACCGTGCGCACCTTGCCTTTGCTGTCTGTGTAAGTAATAAACTGTCTGACTCTATCCGAGCTCATTATCTGCTTACTGGCTGAGTCTGTCAGCCTGCTGGACATACCCCTAGAAAGCCTCTGTTCCCATCTGACCCCCATTCCCCACCTGCACAAATCAGAAGCTGAAAGAGTATTTACTAAAGCATGAGATGTGTAAAAATCACCCAAGATGACCTCAGGTGGCACTCACAGGCATAGGATTAAGTGACTCCAAATTTCCTATCTACTTTCCAACCTTCTAGAACTTTCTATCCAATATGGTAACTACTGGCCACATCTCCTAGCTACTTTCCAACCTTCTAGAACCTTCTATCCAATATGGTTGCTACTGGCCACATCTCCTTTCTGTCTACTTTCCAACCTTCCAGAAATTTTTTCCAATATGGCAGCTACTGGTCACATCTCCTTTCTATTTACTTTCCAGACTTCTAGAACCTTCTATCCAATATGGTAGCTACTGGCCACATCTTTCTAACTACTTTCCAACCTTCTAGAGCCTGCTATCCAATATGGTAGCTGCTGGCCATATCTCCTTTCTACTTGCTTTCCAACCTTCTAGAACCTTCTATCTAATATGGTAGCTACTGGCCACATGTAGTTAATTAAATTTAAACTTAAATAAATTAAGATTAAATAAAACATTCCGTTTTCTAGTCATGCTGGCTACCTTTCAAAATCCTTAATGGTCACATCTGGCCAGTGACCCTGAAATGGACGGTGCAGATGTAGAACATCTCCATCATTGCAGACAGGTCCACTGAATGGCACTGGTCTAGAAAGTCTTGGTGTGTTATTATTGTGTCCTTAACACTTCTCTACATCTCACAATCTCTCTCTCTCTCTCTCTCTTTTTTGTTTTTTAATTTTGGTTTTTTGGGGTTTTTTTTGTTTGTTTTTTGTTTTTTTTTTTTACAAAAAATGATCGGGCCACATGCTTAGCAACAAGACTGTTTAGCTAAAAATTAATAGCATTAAAACATTATATTCATTTTTATAGTTACCTTCTACTTTTGGTGAGTGATGTTGGCTTTCAATTTATGGCTAGGAGGGACATTTTTAGATCCAACCCTGGATTCTAAGGATCTTCTCCCGCAGAGCTGCCTCATCCAGTGGGCAGGGTCTGGGTAAATGACACCCTCCCACTGTTGGGCCGTGCACAACCTGCATAACCTTACATAGCAGTCCTGCACACTCCTCAGCGCTTCAGGAGGGCACACTAGGAAAAGAGGACCTATAATAGCTAAAAGTCCTAGCACCCGTCTCTAGGTCCCTTCCTGTCCACCCTCTACCCCAACTCAGTATCCCCCTAGACTCACGCTCCACTCAGCACTTTCAAAGATCGCACAGTCTCGAAGCCAAGCTCCAGCACACTGGGGCACTCGGCCGTGAATTCGTGCCGCCGGCCTTGGAAGCCGTCCTCATCCCACACCACCATCTGTGCCAGGGAAAAAAAAAAAAAAAAAAACACCACCATCTGTGCCAGGGAAAAAAAAAAAAAAAAAAAGAAGGTGGAGATCCGCATCAGAGTCCCATGGAGGGTGAGGGGTTGGGGGCTCACCCCAGGATCTGGCAGGTAAAGCAGGGATTGCAAACTCAGATGCCTCCAGGAGCCAGGCAGGCAAGGACAGTGAGGACTGTGAGACACTAGAGAGCACAGGTGCCAGGTAGATGGGTGGCCTCTTCCCAGTGCCACCAATGGTTGCCAAGTGGGAATGCAAGCCAGACCTTCCAATTTCTCAATACGATCCCTAGATCTGGACTTTTATGTGGTTCTTCTAGGCTTTTAAAGGTTGATGATAAATCCAAAAGCTTTATAAAACAAACCAACACACACAGAGATGGTCAAAGAAACCATGCCCAAAGACTGCAATCTCTGCCAAAGAGTGTAACAGGTCAACTTTGGGAACCAGAAGACCCAAGTTCACATTCGACCTCCCTGTATGTGACATACAAGTCCCTTCTTGACTCTGAGTCTTGATTGCACCTCTGTGAAATAGGCATTTATAATACCCTCCTCCTAGGATTTGTGGGGACTTGAACCCTCCCCACACCTCCTGGACACGCCCTCCCCATGCCTCTTCCTACCTTCCAGTGTCCCGCTGACTTGGTGCATTGCAGGGTCATCGTGGCCCCTTCCTACAGAAGAGAAGAACATCATAATAGTCCACCCTGTCCCTCTGCTGTCCTCTTTATGTAGATGGCTGGCTTAGACCTGGTCAGGATCCACATGGGGAGTCCAGGAGTGACTGGGCTAGGGGCAATGCGTGGCTTTGGGCTGTCCCTCTCCTGTCCTTTCCATCTGTCACCAGTGCCATCTTCCATCCTATCCCCATCTCAAAACTCACCCTTGCTGGGTCTCATTGACTCTAAGCCCCACTCTGTATTCTCTTATCTGCTTGTTATGGGAAAATTTCTGTGGCTGTTGGTGGGTGGGTACATCACCCCAGCAAGTGCTAAAATGACAGTCCTTCCAAAGACAACACCTAGCTCAAAGAGGTAGCTCTAATGGTGGAAATTTAGGCAACAGGGCTACAGGAATAATTTTGTTTTTAAATGAGGGAAGCAGGTGCTGGTCTTGATGGTTGGGGCTCATCATTGGTTAGGGTGAGGATGGCATTCAGGATGACACAGTGACATCCCTAGGACTGGGGACCTGGGCTCCTCACCTCCCAGGATGCTCACTCAGAACTCTGATCCCATCCCTCCTCCAAACCTGGGACTTACCGAGATAGGCCCAGGGAACATGTCAGATCTGAGACCAGCCGAGGTCAGGCTCTTATAGGCAGGGAGGGAAGAGGGGCCCCTGGGAGACAAAGCCCCGACTCAGCAACTGGGCCACAGAAACAAAAGCCAGCCCTGGCTGAAGAGCCAATGGCAAGCTGTCAGCAGCTCTGGCTTTAGCAGGGAGGGAATGGACCAGATCACCACCCCCAGGGATCAGCCACGAAGAAGCAGAGAGGTGGAATATTGGCCCTCATTAGCCCCGCAAGGTTCCTGACTAGACCAGGAGAATGAACACTAGAGGAGGAGTCCAGAAGCATCCTTCCTAGCTATGTGAGCTTGAGCAAGTCATTTCCCCTCAATTTCTGCCTATAAAATGCGGCAGAAACAAACTATATCACAGAGTTGTTGTGAGGTTACATAACACACCTGGTACAGAGTAAACGTTCAGGAAATGTCTATTCCTTTCCTCCTCTCATTCCCCTTTCTCTTCCAGTTGAAGCAATCAGGATAGGCTGCCTGTTGGAGGAGGCATTTGAACTAGACTCTGAAGGATGAAGAAGATATGTACAGAGTTAGACGGAAGCAGAGGCATTCTAAGAAAAGTTCAGAGGTGGGAACTTGGGGCACGTGTACAAGAAAGAGCTGGTAGCCCAATTGGCGGAGCTCAGGGGACCTGAAGGGAAGTGAGGCAGGAGAAGAGGTCTAGGCCAGGGCCTGCCAAGTCCACAAAGCCCGAAGATGAATCCAGATGGCTCTGTGGGCAGCATAAAGGAGCTGTTAGTTACAAACATGCTTTGCAAACTGTAGCACACTTGCCACATATCCAGGACTTGTACAATTTGCTGTGTGCCTCTTGTCCCTAAACCCTGCCCTCTGAATTGGCCTATGAGGGGCCTCTTACAGCATAGGAAAAGAGCATGACTGGAAACCAGATCATCTGAGATGAAATCCAGCCCTGCTTCTTTTACCATCTGGGTAACCTGGAGGATATCTGAGTCCTGCTCATGACCTGTAAAGTGGCCACACCAGTTTCCTTTTAAGAAGGTGAAATGCAGCTCTATCAAATGCATGACTTTAGGCCAGGCGTGGTGGCTCATGCCTGTAATCCCAGCACTTTGGGAAGTCAAGGTGGGTGGATCACCTGAGGTCAGGAGTTCAAGACCAGGCTGGCAGACAGTGGGGAACCCCCCATCTCTACTAAAAATACAAATACATGGGGAAGTATGGCCAGGTGCTAATCATCCAGCTAACGAAGGGAGGCTGAGGCGGCGAATTGCCTGAACCATGGGAAGGCAGGGTTGCAGTGAGCCAAGATCACAACCAATGCACTCGAGCCTGGTGACAAGCCAAGACTCCGATCTTCCAAATAAAAAACAAAAAGAAAAAGATGCATGACTATTGACAAGAGTGTGAGCAATGAAAATTAAAAGGTTTAAGAAACTGCAACCCCGCCTCTAAGCCAAACTGCCTGGGTTGCAATCCCACTCCTCGGCTGGCTGGGTTAACATTGAAGGCATGTTACTTAGGCCTCTGATGAGTCCTCAGTTTACTTTGTAATCAAAATGGGTGTAACAAGATAAGTTACGGCTAGCCTAAGAGACAGGGGATTGTGAGGATAGCCAAGGTGAACTGCCATGTGAACAGCCAGCCGAATCTGCTGCCCTGCAAACATAAAAATTACCAGTCAATTTCCCAGGCGCCGGCGCACGGTGGGCTACAATAGCCTCGTACCCGGCACACATTTGGGAAGGCGGCACCCCGCCACCCCCGCGCGGCCGCAGACGCCGGCGGATCAGAAGGTCAGGAGCATCGAGACCGATGCCTGGGCTTACACATATGAAACCCCCGCGTCCTCTACTAAAAAAAACACCCACTAACCTGCCTAGCGGCCGGCGAGTGGCCAGCCGGCCTGTAGTGCCCAGCTACCGGGAGGCTGAGGCAGGAGAAGGCGGTGGACCCGCGAGGAAGGCGGAGCGTGCCCGGTGAGCTGAGACTCCGGGGCACGCCACTCGCCAGCGTAATCTGCTTTTTTGGCGGCTCCAGCCTGGGTGGACAGAGCGAGACCCGTCTCAAAGAAAAAAAAAAAAAAAAAAATTACGCAGTATTCCATCAGTCTCATCATCATCATTGCTAATAATAAAGATGATTACTATTAATTATTGATCAAAAAAGCAGGAGTACATAGGTTTTAAGAGCCTGGGTTCATGAGTAAAGAAGATGTGAGTTCCAAGTTCATTTTGCATTTCCATTTGTATGAGAAAGTGAGCTGAGAGAGAGGAAGGAAAGGGAGTTGCTTCAGTTTCCTTATCTGTAATTGGGGTTAGTCCTAAAACTTCATCCTTATACTGAGGAGTATAGGAAAATACAAAAAAAAAAAAAAAAAGAAAAAGAAAAGAAAAGAAATTGGCTCCATAAGACAGGGCAAAAAAGAAAAAGATATAATGAAGGATACAATAATAATAATAATGATAAATGGTCTGAGTGGAGCCACCAGCATGGTGAGCCATCCCCCTTCTCTGCCCCCACCCTCTGGCAGACAGCCCATTCCTGGGGGGGGTTTGGGGGGAGCACAGAACTGCCCCAGATGACCTGGCTTTGAAGCCTAGACTGGTGGGTGGCCCCCACCACAGGCATCTTGGCCCCAGTTCCAGTGGCTACCCCATCTTGCAGTTCCTGCCCACACCCCACCCACCAAGTCCTGGCCCAGGATGAAAGGCCAAGGAGAGGCTGGGAAGCGAGGGGGTGCTGGGTGGGTGGAGCGACAGAGGCAAAGCTGGCTCCAGGCCAGGGAGAGCTCAAGACAGAGCTGGGTTCCGTGGGGAGCCCAGACCCCCAGAGAAGAGGCAGGAGCCTATCCAGAAGTCCCCTCCATACATCCTGCCTGGGACTGGGGAGTCGACTGCAGATGACCTAGCTGAGCAGCTCCCCAGGCTCCCTCTGACCCCAGCTCTAGTGTGAGTTCCCAACGTGTGACTGCTGAAGTCTCTTGTTCCACTTGGGCCTCGGTTTCTCCATTTGTGAAATGAGAGGATTGAGCCCTGTGATTTCTGGCGTCTGTTCCGCCATCCTGAGGCTTGATTGCCCCACCTTGGCCTCTGTCTCTCCGTCTCTCGCTCCTTCACTGTCCAAGCCCCTTGTGCCTCTGTGTCTCTGTCTCCACCTCTCTGTTACTTCTCTCTATCTGCCTCCCTACTTCTCTCTCTTTGCCTTGGTTTCCCTATCTTCCCTGTACCCTACCTTTTGTTCCAATCCATCAGAACCACTATTTAGTCACCAGATATTGACTGAGAACCCACTATGTGCTAAGCCCTACCTAGACAGGCCCAGCTAGGTGCTGGGGCCAGTGGTGAACAAGATGTGGTGGGCATCTGGGGCTTCCCAGGGCGGGAGGCTCTGAGATAGGCAGTCATATTCCTGACCACCAGCACCGTCCCCCGGGTAAGATAACGTGGCCTGGGTAGAGGCAGGGAAGGGGTGTGGCACGAGGGGTCACTATCGATAAGTCAGGAAAGCATGGGGTCCAATGTGTGTAAGAGGAAGAGACCCAGGTCTCCAATATCCAACCCAGCTGAGCACAGTGAGACTCGCCCATTCCCACCCCTACCTACAAAGAGGAAGTCAGGCCAGGGGGCCTCAGGCCAAGGTCAAGGCTGGACAGCAGGAGAAGGAAGCACACAGGCCCAGAGCTGGCTGGCCTGTACTGTCTCTGACCTCTCTGTGCCTTTGCTTTCCTCTTCTGTGAAATGGGCATAATGAAAGTACCAAATAAGGCAGATTGTCCTGGGGACTGACCGAGATAGCATGGGTTCAGCCTACAGTAAGCACTCTGTAAAAAACGCTGTCCATATCAAACCCACATCTGCCTTTACAAAATGCTTCTATGCTCGTTGTCACCATCTTTTCTGTGCAGCATCCAATAGGGACACGTGCCCACCTTATAATTGCAGACACAGAAGTCCCCCTAGGGGTAGAGACCTACCAAAAGCCACACAGTGTATAGTGGCTGAGTCAGGATTCAAACTCTGGTCTCCTGCCTCCCGGGGTCTTCCCTTTTCCCTGCCCCATGTTGGCAGCCAGCAGGGACCCTTCTGGGGACCCATTCCCTGGCTAGGGTTATCGAGAGAGGAGTCAGGGCAGGGTTGGAAGGTGAAGCTGCTGTGGCCAGGGTTTCTGCTGTGTGTGCTGGTCTCACAAAGGAAAGTGCTGCTGTCTGCAGTGATCCAGGCGAGGTCGGGGCCCCAGTCCCCCACTCCCTGCCCGGGTCTGCTGAGCCAGCTTCCCCTTTGTGCCACAGACTATAGGGCCTGATGTCTGCCAGACTATAAAATGGGGGGTCGGCCTCTAGTCACCCATAGCACCTGCCTGCCTGCCTGTCCTCCAGCAGGAAGTAGCAAGTCCCCAGGTAAGAGGGAACCCACAGCACAGCTGAGAGCTGAAGGGGAGGGGAAGAGAAAAGGGAGGCAGAGAGAGGGAGGCAGAGATAGCGGTGCCATGAGACTCAGAGAGGCAGGGCCGCGGAAATAAAGACAGAGAGAAGTGGAGAGAGGAAGAAAGGGACGGAGAAGGAGAGGGGAGAGAGAGAGAGAGAGAGAGAGAAATAAACAGAGAGAGAAGTAAAGATAATTAAAAAGAACAGATAAAGAGATAAGCAAAGATACAATGAGGGTGAGATAGTGGGGGAGAGAGGAACAGAGAGGGAGAGGGAGGAACAGACAGGAAGATAGGCAGAAAGAGGGAGAGAAGTAAGAAACAGATAGAGAGGCAGAGAGGGAGGAGAGGAGGAACAGAGGGAAAGGGTGAAGTGGGGAGAGAGAGAGTGAGAACATCTCCAGGAAGGCATGAGTCCAGCTGCCAGCCCTGGGGGAGTGTTTAAAGCCACAGATGTGGCTCAGATGTCTGGCCTCCCCGCTGGTGAACAGGGCATCCCAGAATATGCACAGCCTTCCTGGAGGAGGCTGGGGGAGGGATCTGCTTATCCCAAATAGCTCCTCCTTACAGAATGGGTTCGGGAATCAGCTTGACCAGAGGGTCTTAATCTGTGCTAGCATGGGGTCCTCA